TTGGGGAAAAAGTCAACTGTGGCCAATTTACAGTCAAACTTCATATTTTTACCCATATCAACAATATGAACTCATATGTATCACTTGATTAATTTTGGACCACAATTCCTCAAGAAATTTGACCAAATCATCAAAAGGGCAAAATGGTCAAAATTATGGTTTTGACTGAGAAAGGGCAATTTCTGATTTTTTGGCCTAGCAAGTGGTTAATTGGTTTGAGTTATGATCTTAAGAGTTCAATTGAATCATTTTGACCTAATGGTATAACTCAAAACATTGCTCAAGATCAATTGGATTGATAGTTGATTTTCAGTCAACTGATCAAAAGTCAATTGTATACTGAAAAGTCAAACTTTGACTTTTTTGGTCAAAATCAAGTGTCAAAAATCACAATTCATCAAAACATGTCAAAATATGAAACTTTTTCATCAAGAAATCAAAAAGTCAACATTTCATTTTGAAAAGTCAAAGTTTTCAAACATAGAAATTTTTATAAGTGTTGAAAACTTCATGTTTTTTCACAACTTTGAGCCAATTTTTCACCATGATGCAAGATGATTCAAAAGAAAATTTCAACATGAAAGTTGTAGATCTCAATGATATCTACAAAATTTCTTTACACAACTTCTCCTATAAATTATTGGATCTCAAGTTATTAATCCATGAAGTCATGGTCTAGAAACTAAACACTTAATGAAATTTTGAACATTTTTGGTCAGAATTTTGACCTAACTTCTGTCCCAAGTTTCACCTAGTTCCATTTGGATTTTGCAAAACTAATTCAAATAGGGGTTGTAGATCACATTACAATCTTTCCAAAATGTCTAAGAACTCCTTGAGATCATTTGTTAGCAAGGAGAATCGAAGGTCAGAAGTTGGGGTTTCAAGTTGTTTTACAAGGCAAATTTTGTGATGAACAAAATTTAAATCTCAAACCTATGCTGCATAATCTTTGCTTTGCAGGCCTCAAATTTGTTAGACACTCCATAATTAAATGATTTCACATCTATTAGAGGCTTAAACTCAAGAATTCAATGCAATTCCATGCTTTATATCCATTTTAGAAAGAAAGTGCACAATGCCATTTTGAAAAAGTAGCTTTATACACAAAACTTGTTCTTGAGCCTTGCAATGATTTTTTTCTTCTGATCATACACGTCCTATAATTCAAGAGAAGTTTGTCTTAAGCCTCACAATCACTCAGCCCATGCTTGTACTTCATCTTGGAACCATACTTTCAGTTTTCTTCAAAATCAAGTAACATAGCAATCAGTCTAGAGCTTGTACTTCTGACCCTCTTAAGCACTCAAACCTTCTCATTACTTATGTACAAGTCATTGGAAATAAAACACACGCATGCTTAAGCCCCAAAACTCCTAAGAACTCAAAATTGTATCACATACCTCCATTCTTGCATAACCTGACCAAAAGTTTGAAACTCACATCTCCCTCGTGCGTTTTCAAGCCTTTTTGTTCCTAAAACTTCTAAACATCATTTAGAACTCATCCCACACCCTATTACAAGACTGTAACACCATTAACACCATCCTCCATTTTCGAAAACAGAGCTTTGCACTTGGACTTCTCCAGTACGATTCAGCCACCTCCAGTACAAACTAAGCATTACATTAGCTTCTTGGGACCTCAATGGAGCTATTCTGATCATCACAACACCTTGAGGAGTGCTCAAACTCAGAACACGATTTCCAGTTTTGAGGTAAGTTTCCTTAACTTGGAACTCTTTATACAAGCATCATTAATGTTTAATTTGTGAATGAAAAATGTAGATATCATTTCCCTGAAGCTAGCTATGTTCATAGTTTTCATTTATATTGCTTGAGCTTAGAGAATTTTAAGATTGGAATTTCTGGAAAAGTTAGGGTTCAGATTAGGGGCATTAAAATTTATGTTTGTCTTTGATCTATAGTTTTAATGCTTTACATTTCTGAAATCGTGAGGAAATTTACCACAAGATTCATGTTTACACTTTTGCAAATGAATGAGAAATGAGCAAGATGCAGGTGGTCTGGCCAGGCGCGAGGTTGAAGATGAAGTTTGCCTTCAGGAAGCAGTTTCTAATATATATTTATGGTTTGACATAAGTTAACGGATGTATCACCACCCCAGTGGTTAAAGCGCGCGCCTGTCACCCTTAGGTCCCGGGTTCAAGCCCCAGCGTGAACTTTTTGCTTTATTTTCATTTTTTTTAACATTTTCTTGTTTTTTTTGCAGCGCTTGGACCATCAGTTTGGGCCTGACTTTTTTCTTACAATACTCCCTGTTTCACTTATTAACCTCCCTATTTTTATTCTTTTATTTTATTTTATTTTTACTATTTTATCTTTTATTATTATTATTATTAATATTATTATTAATATGATTATTATTATTATTATTATTATTTTCATTTTTAAAAAAACCCAAAAATATTTTTATTTTTTATTTTTTTTTATTTAGTTTATTTTTCATAAAACTAAAAGCACAAAAATATTTTCTTTAATAAATTAACTTCTTTTTTTAGTACTTAGATGATAAATTTTAAATATTATTATATTATTCTCTTGCAAATTAAAATCAATTAGAACTTAGGATCTTTTATTTAATTATTTTTATTTACTAGTTTAATTAAATTCACAAAAAACCCTAAAAATTTGTTTCCTTTAATTTCTTTTATTAACTAAAATATTAATTTTCTTATTCTTAATTAATTATTTTACTTAATTAGGTCAAAAAACCCCTTTTCATGAAAAACCAAACAAAAATCATATTTCTTTTTACATTTACATTCTTGTATTTTATTTATTCATTTTGTACATTTATTCAAAATTCAATATGGTTGTAATAATTATTTAGATTTAATTTCTTGCAATATTCCCCATTTGTAATTTGTATACCCCTCCCCTAAGTGATGTAATAGCTTAGTATTTTTATTTTCCGCAATTTAAATGCTTTATATACCAATGCTGGTAATTAAGGTTTTGTATGGAAAGACTAAAACCAACAAGTAGACAACCCTAATCAAAGACAAATCAAGCATGAAAATCAATACACTTGCACAGAAACACCCATAGGGTAAATCCACTTGGTTTCCTTACAAAAATGGCCATATTATGCATGTGAGGTATCTTAGCAAAAACAAGCAAAAATATAAGATCATAGTCCCTCGATGACGCTATCCATATTGCCTTTCAAAATGATCTTAGTCCCTAAGAAAAATGCTAAGATATCTTGCAACATTGCTAATCATGGTTATACGATGACCCACACCCGTCCCTTTTACATCCAAAGATAAGGTTACTTACCAAATCAATGATAATGTAACAATGTCAAAGGAAAGAGGAAATGAACATGAAAAACTTTTGAGTAAGTAGATTGTTCCTAGTTGCTTGCTCCATTTCAAAACAAACACCTACACTTTCAAAACATCTTACAAACTTGAAAACATTTTCAAAAGATAAAACACTTTGTATACATTCTTACGAACGAGAATCATTACAAAGTTTGCCTAAACAAATGCCTCTTTACAAAATACTTTCAAAAACCACACAAAACACATTTTCAAACAAAAGCAAGTGATCTAGCAAGTAACTAAGAGCCCATGGAAAACCATGGATGAAAAGGGTGCTAATACCTTCCCTTTTCATAATCTACCTCCCGAACTCAAGAAACAATCTCAAAGGTCTTTCCTGTACTTTTTCACCTTTTCTTTTGGGTAAAAGAAAAGTCGGTGGCAAATCTTGCTAACCGTAACATTTGCGATCAAACACAAAACAACCAAGTCAGTTCTCTCATTATATCACAAATAGCTAAAGAAAACTAAAAAAAACTACACATATGGGTGTCAGCCTGAAAACAGGTGGTGTTGTAGTAATCTGGGGGCTAGGCCCATGCAGTTGAGTCCACAATGTTGTTTTTGTTTGCAAAAACGGGCTTATGAGGGAGAGTATAATGCGATAAACTTGAGGCGCATAGGCCCAGAAACTAGAGTCTAAGAGCTCTTTTTTGTTCAGTTTTTTCTCACCCATGCCAAAAACGAATATCAGGCTTCTCACACAATAATGGCCCAAAACCATAACCTATCCAGATCCACCAATTAACATGGATCTTTTTTTATAAAACTAATGAGAGTGAATTTGAAGGTGATACGCTGAATTTTGGCTTCAAAGGTGTTATGGCTTTCCATCTTCCCTTCAATATTCTCACACTTCCCTTTCTCTTCTCTCTATCGAGACCATGGTGGTACGATTCTGATGCCGCCATCACCACTGTAACATACCTCAAACCACCCATGTTCTTACACATTGCATCCCGACTTCAATTATCATATCAATTTATCACAAAAATCCCAGACCATACTGAACCGATGAAGTACCTTCGAAACCCTAAATCTATAGAATTCACGGATTCGCGTTGGTAACATCGAGATTCAAAGTTCATACTACCCGAAAATCACCTCAATTACCATGAATGTACGCTAAACCATAAAAGAATCGCTAGAAAGATCTGAATGGAGGTATTGAACCTTGACGCGACAATGAAATCTATGACCACTGTGGCTAAGGTATTCTCTACATCTTTCTTTCGATCCTCCCCAATCGCCTTCTTCCACTTCTTTGATTCCGTGCTTTCCGCGCTTCTGTTATGGTTCTGATGCATTATGCGTAATCAATGATGTGGTTGTTTACAGGAAATTCAATTGCGATGAGATCCGTTGAAAACGCGATGAAGATGAAGTAGTTGCAAAGAGCTTGCAACGAATATGATGATGGTTATTGTTGAGGTTCAAGATGATGCCAAGATGATGATGAAGCTTGAAGAGAAAAGTGCAGAAGATTAAAGAATTTGTGATGATGAAGATGTTGCAGTGAGAAGAACCATTATCAAATTGGTGAAGATTGAAGCTTCAAATTGGTTGATGGAGAGTGTGAAAGAGGTTATGCATTGAAGTTGAAGAATTGTGATGATGGTTGAAATTGTATGAAGTTGTAGATGCTTTGTTAATGGAAGGTGGAGCGAAAGAGATGAAGAAGGAGGTTCAGAAAGGGGAGTCAGAGGTGAAGATTGCAGAGAGAGAGGTTTTCAGTTGGTTATTTCCTCAATGATTGGAGAATGAAGATGAAGATGAGAGGAGAAGAGAGAGTGTTTTTGGTGATTCTTCTGTAGATTGTGAAGAAGAATGAAAGAAAAAGATGAAGACGATGATGGATGCAGATGAAGATTCAGAGGAGAGAGAGTTTTTTCTCTCGGTTTTTCTTGGTGTGATTCTTCTGCAAATCGTGAAGAGTGAATGTGAAAGGTGAGTTTTTCTGTTTTATTCTGTTAGTCTGTTAGAGTTTGTTAAGAATCTGTTTGGATCCTATTTCTGTTAGGGAATACATGGTTGAGCTAAGAGATTAGAATATCAGTTGTGAAAGTTTTCTATTATGAGAAATTTGGATGAGCTGGCATTTGAGGTTTTTTTGCAGATCTTTTTCCTGATTTTATAACTTTCTCTCATACTGATAGCTTGTGCAGAGCTGAATTTTTGAAGTTTGCTTTTCCTTTGTTAATATGCAGAGCCTGGTGATGTATCAGGACTGGAAAACATGGTGCAACTTGGTTCCGATGGTGCTCGTGTGAGTCTTGGTTGGTTAAAATCTGAAGTATCAAAATTAATGAAATGAAGCTTAGGATCTCCACTCTTTGCTGAAGACAGATTGATGGAAGTAGAAGAGACAGACATATGATTTGTATAGCTTGCAAAGTCTGTTATGAAACTGCTTTTCTGGTTATTCTGAGTTTCTGACATATCTGCGGTCTTCCCCTCCCAATACACATTTTTCCAGTTTTATGATAAATGTGATTTCTATACTTTCTGAATTTCTAAACTGATATATCCCTTTGGTTGCACTGATATCTTTTCCGAACTGATTTTGTGAAATGTGTGCAAGGCTGCTTTTTTTTTCCTTTTAGGTTCAGATTAATTACGCAGGGGATTGTATGATATGGTGGCGTTGTCAGTACAAAAATTCACGAACATACTTTAGGAGCAACACAAGTCACGGCCTAATCTCAACAATTGTGTAAAGCTTAGGGCGTGCACATGGAGCAAAGAAAGTGGACATGGTTTTGATGTCATGAAGATGTCTTGAAAAGGCTTTGGACTTGAAGAAAATGGGATGGAGGCTTAGGATTAGAAGCAATAGGTTTTAAATACAATTTTGTGTATTTTCTTAGCGATGTGATTATGTAATTGGTATTTAGAATTTGATGTAAAGTGAATAATGGTTGATGACTCTATGAACCTGAACTTGAACTTGAATAATGTATGATTAATTGTAATGGAATTCAAATCAAAACTTTGCACGAATATTCTGGAAGAATCTTTGGATGACAAATTGAAGTGATTCAAACTTGAATAATACGCCCTCGTAACTTGAATACTAACTTGAACTCAATTTTGGACTCAATGATATCTGAAATGAATACCTTAAATCCACCTTAACCTCAATCAATAAACCAACACTTTTAACTTTTTCTCTAAGCAAGTTAAGTGAGTTATCCTTGAATCATATTAAAAACTTCTATTCCATGTTCATCTTAAATCGATCCTCGTATGCAACTCAAGTGTTCATGACAAGTTGAATCTCAATTGACTTCAAATGGCGTGCTTGATCAATGAACCCATAGACTTAGAATTGAATCTCAACTCCCGAATGCTTTATATCCTAAGCCCAAAGTTAACTAGAAAGGCAACTTTGAAACATGATACACAGATCTCTAATTGATGGAGTGAGATATAGATGTATCTAAACTATATTCTCTTGTATCTAAACCATGGTTTATGTCTTATAATATAAGTAACCGATTGAATTGACCCTTGGATGATAGTGAGCCACATGAATTGGGAGACAAACCCTAGTTTCGATGATAAGCGTAAGCACAATGATGAAGCATCTTACTCCATAATTCACAAGAACCACATATATGATGAAAATCTGTTTGAAAGAAGTCCAATTGAATGACTTGCACCCTATAAATGAAGTCACATATCATATCATGCACAAAACCATGTGTTTGGAAAAAGGAGGACCTAATTCACAATTCACCGCTTGAGGAACAAATCAAGGAAAATCAAACTTTATTGAATATGTGTTGTACCCCAAAATTTTCCCTCTCATTTATTAAGACTTTCTCACAAGACTTCTTGGACTCAAGACAAGATTAGGGTTTGGTCAGCTCAAGACATCTCATCTTGCACTAATAACCTAAAATTAGGGTTTGAGTTTGCACAAGAATTTTTGGATCACCAATGCTTCATGTGACTTTCATACATCATTTTGGACCCCTAAGATTGCTCATGATAAGTTTCAAGCCTTGAACCATATTTCTGATCAGTCAATTGGACAGTTGACCTAAAAATTAGTTGTATTGGGGAAAAAGTCAACCATGGCCAATTTATAGTCAAACTTCATGATTTTGGATCCACATCAACATTTTAGACTCATATGTACCATTTTATCAAGTTTGGATCACAACTCCTCAAGAAATTTGATCAAATCATCAAAAGGGCAAAATGGTCAAAATTAGGGTTTTGACTGAGAAAGGGCAATTTCTGATTTTTAACCTAGCCAATGACCAATTAAGTTCAAGAATGATTTCAAGGATTCAATGGCATCATCTTGACCTAATTACATGGCTCAAAAGATCTCAAGTTCATTGGATTGACAAATGAAATTTGCAGTCAACTGATCAAAAGTCAACTGTATACTGAAAAGTCAAACTTTGACTTTTTGGTCAAAATCAAGTACCAAGGGTAATAATTCATCAAGATATGTCAAAATATGAAACTTGTTCACCAAGAAAACCAAATTTGAAAATTAGGGTTTTAATTTGAAAATTTTCATAAATTAGAATTTTTCTAAGTATAAAATTTTTCTTATTTTTTCCCAACTTTTCACCACTTTTTCACTATGATGAATTTTGATTCAAGAAAAGTCCCCAACATGACAGTTGTAGTCCTACATGAAATCTACAATTTTGCTTCACAAAGTTTTCCCTAAAGATGCTTGGATCTCAAGATATAAATTTGTGAATACATGCTCATGAACTAAATAACTTAGTGAAATTTTGCCCTAATTTAGGCAGGTTTTGGATCCAACTTCATGGCAACTTTTCACCTAGTTCCAAGAGGTATCTCAAATTTCATTTCAAAGATGGATTATAGATCATATTTCAAGCTTTCCAAAATGTCCAAGAACTCTCCAAGATCATTTTTGAGTAAGGAGAATCGAAGAGAGGAAGTTGGCATTTTCTCACTTTTTGTTCAAGCCATTTTCACATAGTATCAAGTTGAAAATCAAACCTATGCTGGTTATATCTTGCTTTACAGGTCCTAAGCTTGCTATACACTCCTTAATTAAATGCATACTCAGTTGACAAAGCCTTTATCCCCCTTGCTTTTGAAGCTTTACACAAGATGTATTTCCATTTTGGGCAAAAAGGCTTCATTGCCATTTTCATAAAGATGAACTTTTGCAACTTTGTCAACTTGGAGCATTGGATCTGTCCCCTTGGTACAAGCAAAATCTACAGCTCTCAAGAAAATTGTACAAATTCATTTCAGCCCTCAAGCAAGCTGGTACAAGCATGTGAGATTGGTCTTGTCAACTTACTTCAAGTACAAGAAAATTGGCAAAAGGTCTAAAGCTTGCACAGCTAGTAAGAAGCTGACTTTCTATCACTTCTATACTAATATGCAAACTTGGTACAAGGCATAACAGGCTTGGCTTGCACCTAGAACACTCTGAAACTGAAAAACACCACAAAACTGCCCAAGCTCACAGTTTTCTGCAAAAGTACAACCAACTCTCATTTGACTCGTGTGTTTTGTGTTTAATCAATTCAAACATCTTATTCACTTGATACCTAGCCAATCTAAGCCATAACCCTGGTTCTGTAACCTCTGTTTCAGCATCTGCCATTTTCAACTTGGAAGCTTACAATTGGACTTGGTCAGGGAGTTCCAGCCATCCTCAAAGCAAGATAAGCATTGGAATAGCTTCAGGGAAGTTCAAGGAAGCTCAAACAATCATCAGGCCTCCATCAAAGTCCCTACATTGCCCTACTCGATTCCAGCTGAAGGAGGTATTTTCTTAAACTCTATCTCTTTATATAGGCAACCTCAAGCCACGATTTGTGAAGGAAAAATGTAGTCCTCATCATAATGAAGTTGTACATACCATTACTTTGCATTTATGTTATTTGTGCTAAGAGAATTTGAAGCTTGAAATTTCTGAAAAAATTAGGTCACAAATTAGGGATTCTAAAATTCTCTTTGATCTTTAATTGTTAGGTTACATAATTTATATGGTTGGAATCGTGAGCTCAAATACCACATTTTTCATGTTATGAGTTTTCATTTTTATGCAAGCATGAGGAAGATACAGGTTGAACTGGAAAACGCGCCCAGAAAACTGAACGAAGGTCAGGGATGAAGTTCTGGGCTTTTTTTGGCACCATGGCCTTTTTGTTTTTGCCATTTGCACCCCCTGACTTGCTACTGCACCCCCTGACTAACTATTTTATATTTTTGCATTTTTTATTTATATTTTCATATTTATTAATTTTGTTTATTTTTTCTGAATGATTAAAAAATTCAAAAATGATTTATTTATTTTTACACTTTTATTTTATTTTTTTATTATTTTTTCACATAAAAAATTAATTTATTTGGATAAGATAGAATTTATTTTTCTTAAAATAACTTGTAAATATATTTAAAAATACTTAATATTTTTATTATACATTTTATACTCATAAATACTTATTTTCTACACATATTTAGTTTTTAATATTTAAACATAATATTATTTATTATGTTTTATATAAAAAATATACAAGTTAGTAAATATAGAACATTATTTTCTTTTAATTAAAAACTAGGGTTTAAACCCCTTCCAAAAATAAATATTATTTTTTTTCCTTTTTTTAGGTTTAAATTAAATATTTTTCTCATACAAAAACAAGACATAAAACATTTTTCCAACATGAACATATTGCATTGCATTTTAAATATTTGTCTTATTTATTTAAATTCGCGCATATTCGGTTTGGTTGTAATAATATATTTAGTTTTATATTTGTGCAAATCCCTATTCAAACTTGTATTCCCCCCTTCCATAAAAAGTTGTTGTAATAGCTTAGTATATTTACAATTACGCAATTTATCGCTTTATACCATGATTAGTAATTAGGGTTTGCATGACAAGAACAAAAAATAAAACAAATAGAAAACCCTAAATACAAGACAAATCAAAAGCATGAAAATGATACACTTTGCACACAAACACCCTTAGGATTTCTCCCATTTGGTTGCCTAAAATAAAATGGCCATGTTACGCATGCGAAGTATCTTGGCAAAACAAAACAAGTATAAGATCATAGTCCCTCGATGACGCTATTCAAAGGTTGCCTAAACAAAATGATCTTGGTCCCTAAAAAATGCTAAGATACTTGGCAACATTGCTATCATGGTTATACGATGACCCACGCCCGTCCCGTTTACATCCAAAGATAAGGTTGCTTACCAAATCAATGGTAAGTCAACAATGTCAAAGGAATAGAAAATGCACAAGAAAGACATTTGAGTAGGTAGATAGCTTCTAAGTTACTTGCTCCATTTCAAACAATCATTGCTATTTTCAAAAACAAACACATACACATTTCAAAAACATCTTACAAATATTGAAAACATTTTCAAAAGACAAACATCTTTGTATACATTCTTACGAACGAGAATCATTACAAAGATTGCCTAAACGAGTGACCTCTTTTACAAAATACTTTCAAAACCACACCAAACACCATTTCAAACAAAACAAAGCGAGTGATCTACGCAATTAACTAAGAGCCAATCGAAAACCATGGATGAAAAGGGTGCTAGCACGTTCCCTTTTCATAATCTACCCCCCGAACTCAAGAA